TGGATGTTCACCTTCCTAGAAATGGATGGAGAGGGGAGGACCTAGGACTTACCACAGGGCAGGGAACCCTGACTGCTCTTTGGACTGGAGAGGGATGGGGAGAGGAGTGGGGAGAGGGGGAGAAGGGTGGGAGGAGGGGGAGGGAAATGGGAGGCTGGGAGGAGGTGGAAACTTGTTTTTTTCTCCTTTTCTCAATAAACAAATGGAAAAAAAAATAAAATGTTCTAAGATCAAAGAATTTGCATTAATTTTTTTCCAAAGCAAGCGAACAAACGTATGAGCAAATAAACCAAACTTCTTGCAGAGGAAGATGGCAGCAGGAGAGGTGGGAAAGGGATTTCTGTTCTCAGGAGGTAATGCCAAAGGGTGTGAAAAACAGGTAGACATCAAATTGATACATCAAATACTACCTAGAAATGCTCCTACATATGTGATATCATATGTTTTAAATGGGCTTTTGAATAGACAACCATTTAAAAACCAGTAAGGAGATATTTCTGAAAGCTCTGGTTGCCAAAGCTTCATAAGATCCTTTTATTACCATCTTTTTGTTTTGTGCTGAAAAAGAGTGGCTTGTTTCCATCCATAGTTGTCAACTAACTCATCATAAATATGGAGGGGAATCAAGTGCCAAGTAATATTTAGAGGTTTATAAATTCTGTGTCCCTGATCAATCTCATTTGTAACATCAACAAAAACAGGTCACTTCAAAGTACTTGTGGATCCTTTCTTCTGCAGTTAGGTTCCAAACTCACTACTAAACATGAAACACAGAAGACTGTATAAGGGCGGCTTATTATTTTTAGTGATGACCCAACTGATGTGGCTTTTGCCCTTATTGATTTGTTTTTACTATTTAAACACATATATGACTAGGTGTTTTCATCAAATCCCCCTTCACTCCCTCCTTTCCAATATGCCCCATACTGCCCCACCACTTTTCCCTCCCTGTTTAATATGCTCTTGTTTAAACCCACTGACTCCTCTCAGTGTCGACAGTATGTGCATGGGTGTTATTTGCCTTTATAACAAGCTTTCTCAACCAAAATGGTTGAATTGGCACAACTACTATTGCTACAAAAGGAATCGCAAAGTGTATGCATATGGTGTTTCCAAAATGCTAACCTCCAAATAATTATTGGCTTTGGATTGTCATCATTTTATCCCCCAGAACCAGGAAACAAAAAGGTACAAAACTTTTTTACTATATATTGTATTTGTAAATAAAAAGACTGACCAGCACACGCTGCCTGATATGTTATCTGGAGACTTTTTAATCACTTCCTATTCATTGCACAAATGCAAATTCTGTTGCTGGTGCAAGACAATTTCACTGTGTACTGAATTGAAAGTAATTATTAAGCACATAAAGCCTATATCCAGTAAACACCAAAGCATTTTCCACACAGTGCTTCATTTTCAAACAGCTAACTTTATTGTCAGTGAAAAGATAGGCACAAAGTGGATTTAACCTGCTTAACTTTATTTGATCTACCTCTCATGATTACAGAAAAGAATCACAACCACTATGAGACCACATATATTAAATCAAAAGTAATTCTTATCAAACCATCTGCCAACCCCATCTAGCCATTTTATTAAACACATGCCATTGATAACAAAGTAGGTCAGAAGGAGGTTTGAACGCTTCGTGTAACCTGCCCTTGCTACCAGAAGAAAATGTCCATGTTTCCAACCTTTCTCCTACTGTCAATGGTGGCACTTGAAAGAAGAGTTTCTAAAGATTGCGGCAGGCAAAAATTGGTAACAATGAACTCACAGCCAATACCTCCCTTTGAAAGTATTTCCTTGGAAAAAGAAACACATTTTTCTGTAACATATTCCATGTATAAATGAGCATTTAAGACAATAGATTGTACGGCTAACACACATGAGCATTTATTAAAGTTAGCACATACATGTATACTTTAAGATGCCACATTGTTTAGATTCTTCATAAAAAGTAGCTTGGGAATCAGTTTGTCAGAGCCACTGAACAGTGCAAAAGGAAGAAGAGAACAGGACAGGTATCTTGCTATATTTCCTGTCACAGATCATGGCAGATGCTTCAAGTTTCTACCGCCCCGTCACCCTGCAGCTCAAAGGCAACACTGAAATGAAAACCTACATTAAGACAACAGTCACAATACATGACTTTCAAAGGAAGTTCAAGCTGAGTTTACTTCCTCAACAATGTTAACAGTTTTGTATCAAGTATAGTTCAATCAAATGAAATTCTGCTGGACATGGGACATTGCAGGTAACAAATGAATAATAAGATCCTCATAGACCACCAGACAGTAAAAGTTAAGACAACAAATGCCCCCTCTTCTTCTAGGGTGCCAGGAAAATACATACATTTTACTGTAAATAGGAGCAAGTCGAAGAAGAGGCTCCAAATGCTACATCCACATAAATGGGAAGAGGTGGCTAATTTGAGATTTTCCCATATAACTGAATTTTTAAACTGATACCTAGTAGAAATTTTCTCAAGAGGTGGAGCCTGTATGGTCCATAAACAGACTATACCAACACAGTTTTCTTCTGTTTCTTAGTCGTACACTGTCCTTCTAGCAAATCGCCTGGGCCTGAATACTGAGCAGGACTGCCTCTAGTGTGGTAGGCCAGAAAGGTTCTGGAAAGTTCCAAATAGTACTTCTGCAAGGACTTCCTTCTTTCCCCAAACACATGATTTTAAAGAGATAGCTGTCATACAGTGAAGAAGGTACCATATCTGTCACTTCACAGAATATGACTGGAATCATGGCTCCCAGAGTCAGCCAAAATTCTAGCAATGTGTTGTCATCAGGAGAGGACATGAAAAGTTTTTTTATTTTCATTCATTAGCTTGGGCAGAAAGTCGTTTTCCTCGTGCTTGCTGCCTGATTCTTCTACTGTCTCAAGTTTTTTCCCCTTGCAACAGAAAAATGGTGTGAATGAGCATTATTCACAGGGCTGCACTTTCATGTTTCTATTTGGCCTTCACTCTTTAACTGAGGACTGATGGACTGGATGACCATTTCGTTATTAATAATGTGAAAAACTAGTTAATAGTTGTTGCATTTCCTTCACACATACACACACACACACACACACACACACACACACACACACACAAATAAATCCTTTGGAAGGTAATTAGGAACCACACAAGAATACAGGTAAATAGAGCAATCTTATACTCACAGAGCAATACATAAAATGACCCCAAACACATGATTTTATAAGGAAAAACAGTTGAGTTGATGTCTTAGGGATGCATTTCATGTAGCTCAATGATGAAATGGGATGAGAAAAAGAACAGTTCCATACAAGGCACTCCAGCAGAGACAAGACGAGAAATCACCCCAAACAATCTAGTCAAACCAAGAAGATTTTCATAAAGTAGGCATACCCTAGACTAGGAATATGCCTTTTCTTCAAAACAGGCTCTTTTTTTAATAGATAATCATTTCCCAAAATAGGCATGTAATTGGCAGAGCAGACAGATATACTGTGTGATCTTGAAAAAGTCACTGAACTTCTCCAAGTCTCAGATTCCTCATCACTAAAGTTAGAATGTAGAGCTACATTGCTAGATAAAGTTCCTTCCCATCACTAAAGTCCATGGCATAATATATAGACTACCCTTCTATCAATCTGATTTCTAACTTAACATATCACTAAACCTCTACCCCTTATACTTAATAGTCCCCCTCCCCTTACCCTCCCTATACCCCTGAAAACAGACCTTAATGATACTATCTGAAGTTATATCACCTTATGAAGGGCAGAGACTAAGGACAAGGACCTGTGGCAACTGACACCTTCTGTGTCCTTAGAGGCAGCCCTATGATAAGGCTCCCTGTTTGGTCCCGCCCATGTATACATTCCCAGCTGCTTCCCAAGGGGTTTCCAAGATGGAGTCACAGGCAGTAAGAAGAGGTAGTTGAGGAGATTGCTGCAATCAACCTCTCTCCTGACTGCAGCCCGGCACTTTGGACTTCTTACATTATTTCCATGGAGGTGACAGTTGCATGTGCCTTTGAAGACACATGCTAATTTGGAAAAACAAAACTGAAATAGTTCAAAGTATTAGCCAGAAATTCAACACATTCAACCTCTCCAAAAAAGATGTTTCCTCATTTTGTAAAGTATTGGCAAACAAAGACTGGGGAACCAGTCAGTGAATCTGCCTTGTGGAAGAAATAAAGGCTACGTCAGTCAACTGGTCAAATTTAAGGTGACGGAGCCATGTTCATGACTATATCTTGACCACAAAAGTCTGCATGCAGCATCTCATGATGCCCTCCTTTGAAGCTGCTAACATCAGACCCCCCATGAGGGAGGAAGTCATGCATCACTCTGCTCATTTACTCTCCTACCATCTGAAAGCAATATATTAATTATCCAAATGCATAAATTATTCCAGAGTATATATATGAATGGATGAACCTCCAGGGGGGAACCAAAAGAATCCACTTCCAAAGCACCATTGAAATGAAGATAAATACCATCAGTATGAAGGGGCAGGGTGACTGGCAACTGGGAGAGAAAATTGGTCCAGTTCCCTTCTTAACCCCAATACTCTCTTCCTTTTCTCCAGCTTCCAAAGCTCCTAAAACACTTTCTTTTCTCAGCTTAAAGAAAGACCTTTCTTTGGCTGTTGTCTAGGTAGTCACTAGACAAAGCAGCAAATCTTCAAATTCTCTCCAGATTTCCACTTCTGAACTACGTGTTACAAACTGCCTTCCACACATGCTGTATTCTTCTATGAAAAATGACCTCAAATTGGGAAATGTCAAAACAAATTGAAGCATCTGAAATCAATGGACATTGCTACCAGTTAAGAGTCCATGATTTAGATCAATGCCAGCAATTAGTTCTAGAGCACATTCTGCTTAACCTATCATCTTGAGGTACTCCCTATGGAATTCTCATGGTATTAAGTACTACAAGAGTCCAATAAAAAGTCCCTTTAAAAAATCATCCCCACCTCCCAACCCCATCATAACCCCAGATTAAACAAACAAAAGGGAAAAACGATTAAAAGAACTCTTGCTGATAACTTCAGCTCTTGAGTATGCTGTTTAGATGAGATATTCCACCATCTCTGCATCAGGTTCTTGACTCAGGATCTGAATGGGTGCTTTTCTTTCCAGAGTGCTGGAGTGGAAAACAGGCCCATCTAAATGGAAATGAGAGGGTAGAAAATAATTAGAGACAACGAAAAAAAAAAAAGAAGAAGAGCTTTCACCGAACAACGCAAAGAACCATCACAAAACAAATTTCTAAGTGTGACTTGCCACTAGGTACACCGGCATCATTTACTTTACTGGTAAAATGGCCACTCGTGACCATTTTTATTTTAATGAATGAGAGAAAGCATTTCCAGAAGCTCTTTTTGTCTCTTCTCTGACCAACCCCCATTAGATCATGAAACATTCAACTCTGTCAAAATGGCAGGCACCAACTAATAGATCTACATCTGAGAACAAAACCAGAAGATAAATTGGAATTACCTGGCTTGTCTGGGTTGCACATCAGATTTGGTGTGGACAATCGGCGTGGTCCACAGCTGGTACCTGGACTTGCAGGACCCTCAGCCTGAACCAAAGCTGGAGTTGGAGTCGGAGCTGGAGTAGGAACTGCAGTCGGAGCTGGAGTTGATGCCTGAGTCGGAGTCGGAGCAGAAGCCTGAGGCGTTGCTGGAGCCGGAATCGGAGCGGGAGCTGGAACCGGAGCCGAAGCAGCTGGAGCAACCTGAACAGCAGTAGCAGCAGCAGCAGCAACAGCTGCTGCTGCAGTAGCTGCAGTAGCGACAGTAGCAGCAGAAGGAGCGGGAGAAACATTAGCAGAAGTAAGAGATGAAGCAGCTGGAATCTGAGCAGCAACAGCTGGAGAGACAGGAGCAGCCGGAGAGACAGGAGCGGCTGGAGAAACAGGTGCATCTGGAGAGGCAGCAGCAGCAAGAGCAGCAGCATTTGCTGGAGATGGGGCAGTGGCAACAGCAGCAGCTGGAGCAGCAGCAGCAGCAACAGCAACTGGAGCAGCAGCTACCATGATAGTGGTGTTGGTGGCAGCTGTGGCAGTGTTGGTGGCAGCACTTGCAGTGATGGCAGCAGCAGGGGCGGCAGCAGCAGCAACTGGAACAGCAACCGGAACAGAGATGGGAGTAACAGCTGCGGTTTTGGTTGGTTCAGATCCACGTTCTGTTTGGGTGCTGCAGTCGCGACTGCCTGTCTTCGAGTGAGCCGAGAGCAGGGGAGTCGAAGGAGGCACAGGTGAAGGTGTGGATGGGACAGACTCAGCACGATAGTCTCCACCCAGAAGAATGCCTACAGATGAAGCGAGGGACCAGAGAAAAGTAGGTGATTCCTATCCAGACACGGATTAACTATTCACCCTTGTCGGAGTTCAGGAAAAGAAAATATATGACATTTTTTTTTGAAAACTATTTGTTTTTACTTCTTGTGAACCTCTGGGATGCTACATTTCCCACCATAACTAAAGGTTGGTTTTGGACTTAGAGGATCCCTTCTTGTCTTCGTCATCAAAGTCTCAACACAACATATTAAACCTGTGTGTGTCCTTGGTAGCTGATCAATTTTCTCCCCATTGGTGATTGTGGCAGAGCAACTCATCAGAGTTCCATTCTCTTCCAGTAATATTAATGCCCCATATTACCAGAGAGCTGAAAATAACCCAGGAATATGGGGAATGTGTACGGATACCCACGAGGGTGCTTTTCATTGTGTAACCTACAGTGCCAACCATGACAATGGCTCCCAGAATGCTTACTCAAACTAAAGGATACTGCAAGTGTCAGAGAACCAGAAAAGGCAATAAAAACAACAAAAGATTTGAGATATATATTTGTTTGCTTCTTCGGGGTCAAAAAAAAATGTCTCAGTATCTATGGGACTCTGAGGCTTTAATTAGAGGGGATGAAACAGACAGGAATTGAACATAAAAGCACATTCTATTCTCATGTTGGAACAGTCCGTTAACAAAAGCTGCCACCTGACCCCATTAGCTTAAAGAGAACTTTGGGTCCCCTTTCTGTAAGAAAGGAAGGAACACAGCAATGCTGTAATTTTGAATTTTGCCTGAGATGAAAGCCATTTCAGTTTTGAACAAAGTTGCCATGTGGCAAAAGCCAAATCTGAATTTTTTCTTTTTTACATAAAATTCAAGTTGTCTTCCTTCCCATCTGCAAGGAACTCAGGATCCTCATTTTTCTTTTCAGGCTTTGGCCTCAGTTAATATTCTCGGCAAGAGACTTCAGAGTTCCTGGGCATGTAGCTTGTTCTATCAGGGGCAAAAGTAACCCTGAATTCTTCTCTCTAGAACCTGAACCATTGTCTCTTCCCCTTGCTGTGTGTAGCACAGGCGAGGCACTTTCTAAGTACATCACTGTGCACTTCCCTGTTTGCTTTCATTTTCATTACCTAGGCTCCCCTTCCAGTTTTTATCATCTCGCTTCTCCTCCATGAAGGGAGTACCAGTCAGGGTAGAGGAGTGGGCAAGCAGGCCTGATCCAGCATTGGAGATGGACATCAGAGACTTTGCTGGCCTCATGGACGACAGCTGCTCTGTCTTACTTGGCTCTTTCCTGGAGCGCTGCTGCAGCACTTTGATCATAGCATCCTTTTCAATAATCTGGGCATGGAGCGTCTTAATCCTGAAAGGCGAGAGAAAGTACATACAGAAACACGGTTGCTACCTCTGTGCTCTGATCTCACTGCCTAAGTGGATTTGCATACCTATCATCTTTTCTACTAAGTGTTGTCGGAGTTGGAAGGAAGGGTCAGGACATTAGCGCTTTAAAGACAAAAATAACACATTCCATGGATGGCTAAGGAGATGCAAGAGAACATATAAGAACTTCTGCTGCACATCAGAAAACCAAAGTCAAATATCAGCAAACAGAAAGGCTATAGATCTATGATGTTGCTCTTTGCTGAAGGAGCTCTTCCATACTAACAGTACATTCAGTGAGAAAATGGAGCATTCTACTAATAATACATGATCTTCAGGTAAAATGTAAATGACACTAAAAAAGTCACTGGATGTTGAATTTCTCTCAGTGTGAACAGATGTTTTGTTGAGAAATCGGCTCTATTATAGAATTGAGCTGTAGTGTTATGAAGAACACCTCAGAGTAGGAATGTCAAAAATCAGATCTAGCAGAATGCAAATGAAAACAATTACAAAATCCAGGGGAAAGCAATCCTACTTGGAATTGCATAATTGAATGTTCATTATAATGGCCATCACATCAAACCTTAGGTAATCGATTAGCAGGAGTGAAAGGGGGAGGGGACAACACAATCTAGTTCATCACTTATGAATAAACTTTCTTGTCCTTCTCTATTGATCTAGCTGGTCTCAACTTCAACTTCTCAATCCATCTGGGTCCACATCCAGATTTTACCTTCCTTCCATGTCCATGCAACGCTTATTGGCCATCAGGATTTCTTCCTCTTCCTTCTGGATGCGGGCCTCTAAGGCTGTGTCATAGCTGGTGTTAGGAAAGTGGCTAATGACCGTTGTGTCTCTGTGGAGGAAAATGGGCAGTGATGATGATGAACAGGCCTCAGAATGAATAGATGTCATTCTCTATCCTAACTCAGTGGACGTTTTGCTGAAAGGCTTTAAACTGAACTGACTCTCAATAGGAACGGTTGGTTTCTGAGGGACTTACTGGAAGCAGCTTTCAGCAAGAAAGATTTCACGCTAGCAGACACTGGCATGGACATGGCTGCCGAAGTGGGGGTTTGGTTAAATATGTATACACTGGATATATGGAACTGGATAAGCACGTTTCCCCCAAATTTCTAGCAGCCGTCTCATTCAGCATTTTAGGTCCCCAAAGAGCAAGAGGAATCAGCACACTTTCCACTATTCTCCTAACAGTCACAGAGTGGAAAAGTTAAACTTTGGAAGAAATTGGGGGGTTGTTGGGGAGCATTTGTGACAGTTGAGTAGCATTTACATATAGGGGTAAGAAACAACAGACACAGTTTGGGCACAGGAACTAACAAACGGGGCCTTTGATTCGGTGCTATTTGGTTCTTTATCTAATCTACATCGGAACTATTCTATCATGGAATGCATGAACTTCTACCAACTAAGCAACTGTCCTCTTGCCAGAGCCACAGCTGGGCAAGGGGTCATCAGGTTCCACCTGAAATTGTCTCATTCCATTAATTCATAGACTATTATTGAGAAGAAACATGTGTGCATAGGAGAGAATGGCAGAGGAAGAGATGGGGAGGGGAAGAGAGACATAGGACAGAGAACTAGAGATGAGGACTAAGGTAAAGAGATGGGTATTATGATTGAGGGAAGACATATGGGATTACAAAGATTAACAGGACATCGGGACAATAGACTGAAGAATGATGAACTGGCCCTGCTTCACCGTACTCCTCCCATATCTTAGGTATATTATCTGCTGGAAGCTAGATAGCTATATTTTCTTGGCATTAAGATTATGACGAGTACATGTTGGGTACAATATAATAACAGAGGAGTCAATAGGTAGTAAGTTAACGTCCAGCTTGGGGAAGTTCGGGAGGCCTCTGCAAAAGCCACTGCTGTCCCAAAGCCTAGAGCTCACTTGCAGAGTTGACACCATTCACTGGAATTGGCAAGAAGGAGAGATACAGTTGCTCTCATCATTTGGCAAATTCAAGCTATTTTAACATCCCCAAATTCTATATTCCTTCAGTGCAATTCACTTGTTCACAATCTCACTGGATTGTCTGAGAGAAACCAGCACTACGTACTTGATATCAAGGCTTTTACTATAGACAGGCCTAGGATCACATCTAAACTTCCGCAAATACTCTGCCACTAACAAACTTTCGGATCTCCAAAAGTCAGTTACATATTTTTTGCTTATTCTTCCTCATATGCAAAAAGGCAACAGAAATGACATTTCCTTCTACTTCATGTAAAAGATAAGTATTCAGGTAAAAACATATACCATCAGGCACAATAAATGTACTCAACAATGTTTTTTTTTAATATTGAGAAGAGCAGAAGTAGAAAGAGAATAAGAAAAAGTGGGTATTATGACTTTAAGCCATTCTACCCCTTGGTGTAATCCTGGAGCCCATTCCTGACCTAACAGAGTTCCAAGGGAAACTGAAGGCTAACACTTTAGAGCCAAGCCTCCTGAAAAGTGTGTGGTGTCTACAGACACTGGGGGCTTGAACGTCCAGTTTGTCACTGGGGGAAATAGTGCTGGCTTACTGCCACTTTCATTGCATAAAAGACCAGTTTGGGTACACAGAGACTGGCTGGCTAATTGATATGGACACTGTGAACTCCTCAGGAATGGAGCCTGAAAATGTGGGGCACTTAGTGAATTCCGACAGGGCTGCCAGGACAGCCCGCAGCATCAATCTTCCTTGTAAAAGACCAGAGCTATGAAGCCAATGGCTCTGCAAATGCAACCTAGCACAGCGTTTGAAGGAACAACTTCCAGTACTCTCCGATTGCCCTCCAGAATATCAGAAGATACTTACTGCAGTATGAAAACAGTATGCACAACACAGGCATCAGAACCAGATATACCATCATCTCAAAGTCTCAAATAAAAGGATGTTTGTCAATATCCCCCAAATTATCTCTCTTCTTCTTTTCTCTCATAGCATAATCCAAACTTTAGTACTTTTGAGATTGTCACTCATGATTTCCTAATTAAAATACTTTTTTTTCCAAGATAGGGTTTCTCTATGTGTAGCCTCTGCTGTTCTGGAAGTCGCTCTGTAGAGGACAGCAATCCACCCACCTCTGTCTCCTGAGTACTAGTATTAAAGGTGTGGGCCACCACAGCCCAGTCCTATTTAAAATACTTAGTGGACATTTAAACTTCAAGTATGGTGATTCATGCCTATAATCCTAGCCCTTTGGGATGCTGAGGCAAAGAGATCACTCCAAGACCAGCTCTATATAACAAGTTTTAGGCCAGGCAAGGTCACATAGTGAGACCCCCATCTCAAAAGATCAAAAATAGTTTCTTAAAATCAGACACTAGCTATAAAGTAAAGGATATTGAGCCTATAGTTCATGATCCTAGAGAAGCTAAATAACAAAGTAAATCCTAAGGGAAAAAAATGGATCCACCTGAAAATGGGAAATAGATAAGATCGTCTGACAAAATTGGGAATATGGGGTGGGGGAGAAGGGAGGGCAGAAGAGGAAGGGGAGGGTAGAGAAGAACTTGAGGGAACAGGATAGTTGACATGGGGGAAGGACAGAGATGAGAGCAAGGAAAAAGATATTTTGATTAAGGGAGCTATTATGAGGCTAGCAAGAACCCTGGCACTAGAGAAATTCCCAGGAATTCACAAGGATACCCCAGATAAGACCCTAAGCAATAGAGGAGATGGTGCCCAAATTGGCCTTGCTCTGTAGTCAGACTGATTAATATCTTAAATATCACCATAGAATCTTCATCCAGGAACTGATGGAAACAGAGGCAGAGACCCGCAGCAGAGCACTGGGCTGAGCTCCCAACGTCCAGGTGAAGAGTGGAAGGAGTGAGAATATGAGCAAAAGGTCAAGATCCTGATGGGGACACCCACTGAAACAGTCTGCCTGAGCTAACTGGATCTCACAAACTCCAGCCAGACAGGTAAAGAACCGACACAGGTCCAAGCATTGGTCTAAACTAGTCCATCTGAATGTGGGTGACAGTTGTATGGCTGGGACAGACTGCAGGGCCACTGGAAGTGGCATCAGGATTTACCCCTACTGCTTGTACTGACCTTTTGGAAACCTATTCTCTTTGGATGGATAACTTGCTCAGCCTAGTTATAGTAGGGAGCGCCTTGGACCTTCCCCAAAGCAATGTGCCTTACCCTCTCTGAGGAGTGGATGGGGGTGGGGTAAGGGGGTAGGTGGAGATTGGAGGAGGGGAGAGAGTGGGAACTGGAATTGGTATGTAAAATGAGAAAAGATAGCTTGTTTTCTTTTTATAAAAAATAGAAATTTTAAAAATTCAGTAAATACAAAAATTATTTTTAAAAAATAAATCAATAAATATGCTTCGTATTTTCCTCTGGGTAGTATTCTGCTGCTTATTTAATAAAAGAATGTTACCATAAGTGGAACATTGTGGGAGGCCAGAGAAGAGAAACACGTGGAAATGATTAGTCCCTGGCTGCAGGAAACTTGCAAGGGAAGACAAAAGATAAATAATTAACCACTACAGGAATGAGTTTGGACTTTAGTCTAATAGGCACTGAAAATTGCTAGAGCTTTTTCTGGAGAAGGAAAGGACCTGTGCTAGGCTTTAGGACAATAGTATTGTCTGTTGCGGAAATGTGATGGTTGGACCAGAAGAGAGAGGTACTTGAATCAAGAGACCAGTAAGGAAGGTGATTGAAGTAATCCCATCAGGCGATAATGAAAACACAAACCATAACATAGAAGGGGAAATAGGAACAGTCTGTAGGAGGTGGATGTGATTGAACTTGGGAGACCATGTCAATGAGATAGCATTACGGAGATGAAAGAATAAATGAGAATTACATTTGTAATTCAAATCATGGACTACTGTTGGTTGTCATAGGAAAACAAAGAGAGTTTTTGGAAAGTGTTGATGACTTTAGATTTCAGAGCTATTGATGTGCATTTGCCTTGAGAATGGCCATAAGACAAGATCCAGTAAGTTACTGAAGATTTTCAATTTAATTTCAGAGATGTCAGAACAACTATTACATCATTTTTCTTATTTCAGAGAAGTCATGGTAGAAAACCAGCTAACTATAACAGAATACAGACTGAGAAGCAAAATATAGAAGCTGAGAAAAGCCATGTGTAGTATGTCTTCTTCCTGAGCTCTCTTTACTTCCTCCTTTTCTGAACATTCCAAGTACAGTTAACAACCCAATTCAGTAAATCCAACATAACAGGATAATTCATGGTTGATGGTTTGTTATCGTATTATCTTTTTTTTTGCTGCTCTTCAGGCATAAATTCACCATTTATGAGCTTGAACTCAAAATCTGTATTGCCAAATCTGGTCTTCAGGGAATGCACAAGAACTTCTTGGTAGGGATTTCCATTTATCATATTAAGCACCTAGATTCTCTAGAGACACATTAACTCCGAGGCAGGGAATAATGGTGCAATTATTCATAATGCTTCCAGGTGCCTCGGTAATAGCCTCAATTAATACTTTCTTTATTGAACAGCTAATGATACCGAGTTTCCCACATCTCAGAGACCGGTAAAGTGAGAAAATGTTGATTTAAATCCTGACTTTTGTGCCCTTTTGTTTAGATATAGAGATGCTATAATTCCTCTGGGCCTGAGAAAAGAACGCATGATAGCACCTAAGGAGAAGCAACAAATTTAAAGTCCTCAGAAGAGCACTGCCTATTTTTGACCAATAAAAGATATTTTCTAATATCCTTTGGATAAAAAATTATTAAATGTAAAAACCTATTTTATTTTATACATTGTCTTGTAAAGCCTAGGCTGGCTGTGAACTCATAGACTTTCTCCCTGGCCCTCTTGTGTACTGGTATTGTGCTGCCACCACCTTAGGTACTTATTTTAAATAAGAAAAAATTAAATTACCTTTCTAGAGAAGCCATGAGCCTTTCTTTCTACCCCTCTTTCCTTCCTTTTCACTGAATACATTTACCTATGTACACTACTGCTCAGGATCACCATCTACTCCTGGACACTTCTAGTCCACTATTTTCAGTTTTCAACAATTTCCCCTTGACAAAAGGTTAGTCAGAATCAAAGTACTATAAGGGGTATAAACAGATCACCCTAGTATGCTTTCCAACCCAAGAAAATAAATTCTTTTTACTCTTACATTACAATTTGCATTTCATTATAACTACAGGTCCCCAATTGGAAATAATCCAAATAGCCATCATCAGGTGGATGGATAAATAATCTATGCTATATCCATTGCACGGCACATTACACAAATAAAAAGGCATGGGCTATTAATACATTCATCGACTGGGAAGGCTCAAAATAATTATGCTGAGCACAAGAAGTAAAACAAAAAGTGTAAACACAATACGACTCCTTTTATATTGATACTCTAGGAAAGGAGTTAGTAATTCTATGACAAGAACCAGATGACTCATTGTCTAGGGAGGAAGACATCAAGTTTAAGGGACACAAGGTCATGTGAGAATGTGTCTCCTATTTTGATTTTGGTAGAAGCTCCACTGTTGTATTCATTTTCCAAAATTCAAATCATACACTTGAAGTTGATTAATTTATTACTGTGTTGACTAACATTTTAGCTGAAAAAATACTCTGTCATTTCTGCTATTGACATCATTCAAATAGGGTGACTGAATTGTGACACATGTTGCTTACCTGTGAGCTACCTGTCATAGACCTGTGAAGTTTAGAATATTTTAAATTGAGATGCTGATAGAATATGCAGACACCAGGCAGTGTCTCAAAATGTACTACTAATTAAATTTGTCAATATAAGTTACACATTAAGAAAAAACCCCTCTCCACCTCCTTCCCTTCCTTCCTTCTTTGTCCCTTCCCATTTTTCTTCTTTCCTTTCTTAATTAAATTTTGAGCACTTTTCATATGCAGCCAGTATTCCAGGCATTTACAAACTGCATAGAATATATATATATAGCTTTCCACGATAGAAAGTGATCACAGGACAGACTCTTCATGTCTACCTTTAGGCTGGTTGGTGGGAGGGTAACAAATAGAGAAGGAATGCGAAGAGATTTGGGCAAGGTAGATAGAAAAGCCTATAAGTTAACATATAACGTTTTCTGGCTGTTTCTCCCCAAATTCGTCATCGAATGAAAAATGAAGAAGAGGGAACGACTTTGCATAGCAAAGTAGAACGATCCTGTCTTTGGAAATACAGCACAGAAGGACTTGGGGGAATCATCTAGTGTAACTCATTGATGTCACAGCACTTTCAGTACAATCTCCCTCTCGTTCTCTCCTGTTGTCTGGATGAGTTATAAACATTCCAGATTTGGAACGTTTGCTGCTGGTAGAAGGTGTTCCTACTAGCTAGGAACACTGAGAACAGACTGGGTTTTAGAATATTAAATGATAATCATACATATTTTGCTGAATCCAGTGGTTACCTGAACACTTACCACCTAGTAATATAAAGCAATTCAATTTAAAACAAATATAACTCATAGAAGCCAACATATTTTGCATATAGGTCTGTAAAGGAATTCTCTCACTACATAGTGCCTTCAAGACAGGAAAGTAGGAGTGAGCGTTCTGTCTTAATATAATGACCCCTCCTGCCAAGCATCTTTCTAGCTATCCTGTACTTTGCCCTGGAGACCATTCTGTAGTCAGCCCCAAGATACTGCCTTCAAACATTTTCTCATGCCCTGCACCATCACGAGCTATATCATCCCAAGGCATCTGTATAAAGCTGACAATGTTACCCTGCATCTATCTCCCTGGCTCACCATTACTAGGTTTTCAGCATCCGTCTTTCACAAATAGCTCTGAACAAATGCTGCACTTCTTTGGGAGCTACTTGGTAATCCGACACTACATTCTGCTTCAAATCTGCCCCCAAGCCTTGTGACCATCTTCTGACACAGCTGGAGTTTCCTTGGCCACCACTATGACATTGGCTTTGACTGAGCATGCTTTTCTCAGGAGACAAAGCCAGGGAAGCTTCGGCTCACGAAGACCTCAAGATTAAGCCAAAGACAGCTTCAGTCCATCAAAGGCATAAGGTTATCTGGAAACAGGATGATCACATGGAGGAAGAAAGAAGTGCTCGTGGAGAATCACGAGCAGGTTGAAAACGTGCCAGGCACATGATCCACTGCGCACCCTGATCACTGCCCAATGTCTAGCAAGTGCTGGACTCTTCTGATGTACCATGTTTGGAAGAATGTAAAAAAAACCCTGCTGATTTTATTAACGTTCTGGAGGAAGCCTGTTTGGGTGCAATACACTCTACACCATTTTCAAAACTCAACTCTATGCTGCTCAAGCTCTGTCCATTATTACAACCTAAGCCATCACCAGATAATAATTGGGTTGTTTCTTTCCCAGCTAATAGTAATGAAGATTAGCAACATAGTGAAACTATTGAAGAGCAATTGATTCCTAAAAAGTTAATCATTTTTTTAAAATAATATACAAAGAAGGTACCTAAGAAACCAGAAATAACATTTTTTTTGCCATTTTTTTCTCTGTTACCAGACAGAATGAGACTCCTTATATGTGATGAGTTCAGGAATATAAAGAATGTGGTCTTCAAATATAGACCTTCTCAAAGGGCAGTGATGGACTCATATTCGCCACATCCCCAGGAAGAGCCAGAGCTATCAAATAGCAGCAGCTACTCCCAAGTGACATTTGCTTTCCAAGTGGAATTTCTCAGGAGGGGATTTCACTTTGGTGCTGAGACTAAACAGCATGTACACCTGGCTAATAGGGGCAACGTGTCCAAATACTTAGCCAAGCCCACCTGAAATGCTCCAGCTCACTAAGGCCAACTCAACTATGATTCCAAAATGCCCATAGAGTAAACATTTTTAAGTCCTTTAACCTCTGTCCTCAAAGCCATCCAGTCCTTGTATAATTGAAAGAAAGAAAATATATTTGAGAGAAACTGGGGCGGGGGGGGGGGGTTGGGGAAAGAGTATGGAAGGAGACTAAAGACCGGGAAATCTCTGCATGAATTACCATTCCTGGTTTTCCCATCCTCTTAATTAGGGGTCCTTCTACCCACTGCTTACCTCTGCGCAGCCACAGTTGCAGCAGCATCCAGAGCAGAATGTCTCATCACATTCTCTTCCAAGTACTTCTGCTCCCATTTTGTCATATCTGCTTCCAGGGCAAGAATTCTCTCCTCCTTTTCACGAAGGAGCTCCATCAGTGCAGCAGCATTGTATTCTGAAGCATTGGCAGGCTGCGAGTTGCCCTGGCGCTGTGGAAGGAGACAGCAGGACCCTTTGAATTAGTGAAACAACAACCACAGTGTCCAACGTCCATTTGAACATCATTTATGATTTACTTATTTATATCTCTTTACTTAATAGTGAAGACTTTCTAAGATAAGATCTCACTCTGTAGCCTTGGCTGGCCTTAAACTCAGGAACCCCCCTGACAAAGTTCTCCTACGAAATCCTATTTTAAGAGTTTTTATTTTATAAGGACAAGTTTACCTAAGGTATTGTGTTCGTCTGTCTACCTGTTTGCATAGTGGTACAGATCTAACTTAGATTTACACATACCAGGCAAGCACTCTATCATGGAGCCTTCTTTCCAGGCTTCAAACAACCTGAGGTTCCTCTTTCTATGCTGTGAGCACTGGTAAGGTGTTCTATCACTAAGTTAATCCCAACCTCGAGCTTGAATACTGATTCAAAACAAGGAAGGAGAATTTAGATCTCCACAGGACATGGACTTGCAATATGAACCTCCCTTGATCAGAAAAGGAATCTACCTTATCAATTGCCATGTTGTTAAGAAATTAGATTAATGAAATAAAAACAACATAAGAAATTAGATTAATGAAAAAAAACAGCAACCTTCACTTGACAATAAAGGGCAAGGGTAATGAAAAAAAATTAAACCTATGATTTGATTCTAAAACTGTTCCTAATTTATGAGATCTTTGGTGAGTTGTACAATATTTTATGGGGAGAGGGGGGACTTGATTTTTTTCCTCCTCTAAATCAATAAGTAGTATGACCAGAAGATGTCTAAGGAGTACTTCCAGCTAGACGTGGTAGTGCATACCTGCACAGACTGGGCTGTAGGCCAGCTGGGATGACAGGAGACCTGGTCTCAAACTAAAACAAAACAGAAGATCTGCCCAAGATCCAAAACCATCCAAGGATCTAGGTATGTAGCTATCTCACTTCCTGTAGGGTCTCTTGTTCTGGTTCAAGTGAAAAGTCAAAGGTGTAAGATACTATGATGGATTTTGCTGGCAGACGAAGCTAAGGAAATAGGTAGCTTTGTGTATATCTTGGCAAAGCCTTCTAACACAGGGAGATGGTGAAAATGTAAAGATGAGAAAGCATTTAAATGCCATTAGTGTTTTTGCCAAACACCAAGTAAAATAAATAAACTAATTAAATTAATTAACACCCAGGAATAATGGCATTTCTTTTCTTCCTTTCCTTAATCCCATACCTGGTAAGGAAGACTTGGGAATAAACAGAATTTATGAGCCTCAAGGAGTAAAGAAGTAAACCATATTTCCAGGGCTAAGGTACCTAACACAAGAATTCTAAGTCCCCTCCCCACACCCTGGAGTTACATAAGCAGTAACAATTGCTGGAGAGAAAAAAAAAGTAGTGATTAGCAGAGCAGCCAGAAAGTTGGGCAGGGATCTTTAGCGATTCAGCTGTAGTGAGTCATCACCCACACTGGAGCAAGCTTTCCAGCTGCACTGGAGTCACCTGTACTTCTGTAAGTAGCCCCTCGCCAGTATTTCTGTAAGTAACCCTAATAAACATCATGGTTCGGGAAGACAGACTGGGGCAGAATCATTCCACTGATCTATCATCTCGGGCCATCCCCAGGAAGTCGCATGGTACATGCTGGATTCTCAGGGATTCCAGTTCCCTCTCCAAACGGGTCCGGAGTCGGTGCTCCAGCTGCTCGCGTTTCTCACAGGCTGCCTGGAGCTGCACTAGGGCCTGCTGCATCTTCTCCACCTTATCGACGTACACTTGCTTCTTTTTCAGCTGGAAATGCAGGGTGGCAGATTTGCAAATGGAAAGAAAAGATGGCAACGGAGTCAGTTACGGAACCCCCAAATCCAGCCTTTTTCTGGAATTTCAAAAGAACAAACCATGAGATGAACCCTTGGAATACGCAGCTGGTTGCCATGTATATCTTGTACAAATAATGGGAAGGAAGAGAGGAGCCTCTCTTGAACCCTTCCTCCTTCCAAAAAAGGCTTGTCTTCCCCAAGGCTATGCCCCTCAAAGCAATACCTTAGACATCAAAATCGTCAGTTCCCCACTTCTGGTTGCCCTCACCTTTGCTCTTTACTATAAATGAGGCTGTCTGAGGCAAAGTATGTTTCATTTTAGTTCTCAAACTTAATAAATGCTAAAAGGGTGGGAGGAGAAAAAAGAACAATGTTCAGTTTTTCCTAGTAAAGAAGCCTACCTTTTTGTCTTTACATTGCTTATTTGTGGGGGGGGGGATGGAGAGAGGGAGAGATTGAGAGGAGAGACACATGCTCATGCATATATATATGGCCACATGCCCACATGCCTCAGTGGGTACATAGAAGTCAGGAGACAACTTGTGAGCCTAGATTTTCTCTCTCCTTCCACCATTTGGTTTCCAGGTATCAAACTGAGGTTGTCAGGTCTGGTGGCAATCCCTTTACCTACTGAGACTTTTCACCAGCCCATAGCCCTTTAAAATACTGTCTCCTTTCTTATAATGGGGCTGTAGAAAGGGGCTACTAAAGATATAAAGAAGCCAGAAAAGACTTTATGTAAAATAGCCCTAGTTATGATCCAAAATAACCCATTGGTTTGCTTGGAAAACTGCTGCTTCTCTAATTGTTTATGCCATGTGATGGTACAAATGCCTTTTGGTTTCAGGACCAGCAGTGTCTCACATATTTTTTAATTAAAAAACAACAAATGATTTGGGACTTATTTCCCATGTTGAGGTTGATTACTGTACACTTTTTACTTTTATTCTGGAACCAAGGATCCCTAAATACTCAAACGAATCAACCTATATCTCAGTGAATGATTGAGTAAATCATGATTCTCCAGATTTGCAAGTCTAATATACCAAAGAAAAAGTTGAGATAACTGGAAATAAGAATGTGAGTTCTCTGTGCCCGTTTAACTTGCAATTCAAATCCTGGCTCGGCAGCAACGAGGGAGGAAGTGATTAGAGAGCCTTAAATGAGATAGTCATACTATCTCATCCAAGAGAACTGGGAAATGGGCAGGCAGTCTTAGCAGTTTGCTTGCAAAAGAACAGACTCTGCTTCTCACAACACCTGTCCAGCATCAGCCAATCTTAGGAGACCAACTTGTAGCCTCTTTCTAAAATAGAAATCCTCCCAAGTGAGGGACAGCTGCCATTACCATTCCCTTCGAGGATAATCTTCACCCCTAAGATTAAGAGTTAAAGTATTATTGCTAACCTGTACTAAAACACTAAATCCAGTCATTTGACTGTGGGTAATTCCTAAGCCTCGAGTGACTTCAGTGGGTAGCTGCAATATAACAAGTTGCTCATTGTACCAACATTGTCCACATGGCTTTGATGAAGCCAACAGGACCCATCAGACTTCTCAGTGCCGAAACCAGTTATCTCCTTCATGGCAATGAGTCTCCATCACAATTCTGCTCTGCTGGGGAAACAATATTTGTTTCAAATTGTCCTCTTTCCGTGTTTGAATTCCTGAGCTTTTTCCGTGGGGCAGGAAACCCATCTTCTATCTTCCTGACTCCAGACCTATGCATCTCCTTTGGCCATCAGAAGGCAAAACTTGGTAAACTGTTTCAGTGTTTTATTGACATTTCCTTCCAAGACAGGCCTCATTCAATCTAGCACTGCATGCAATCCAACAGACGCAGATTTAAGTCTAGATGTTTTGCTATTTAAGATCATTTCCTAGGATATAAAATAAACAAAGAAGTCATCATATCCTGCCTCTCAATATGCTTAAACGTTCCTTTTTGGACTAGCATGAGCAAGACATTTGGGGCAGGGAAGCCTCTGCCTTGCTATTTGCTAGGCATTCGGTACTGAAGGGGGGGGGATCGTTCTTTATCCTTCACCTTTGGGGTTCCATAATGTTCCTGAGCTATTTAGAGTTGAATGCATTATTTGTGAATCATGCTGAAAATCCTAAGGGAGCAGTTCTATGCTAATGTAGAGAATGTGAACTATAATTACGAAGGCTTACAGCAGTTATACTTAAAGGCAATTAAACATAGACAGCATGCCGTTCTTGCCTTGATAGTGAAATACAGCAATGTGAGCTCTGAAAAACTGAAAAGCAAGCAACCCAGCATCACGCCAATCTCCCTATGCCCTGCCTTTCTCAAAAAGGAAAAGTAAATATCCTATGAAAAGCACTCCCAGAAAGAGGAGTCACTAAGCCAACCCCCTGAATGAGAAAACCAGCGTGGGATGAGGATGTTCTCTGAGTTTAGTGAAAACAGGCATATAGTTTAGACCAATTCTGCAGAGCAAGTTAAGAAAAATAAAGACCATTATTGCTGTTATACCTCTCTTTCTCCCTGTCAAGGGAAGATTATACCAAACACCATAAACACCACAAGCACCTGGGAAGCACTTAACCTCTAGGTATGTCACAATGGAAAGTGACAATTCTTGAATGCTGCCCATGCAGGGCTTTATTAATGTAATTTACTAACTCAGCCATCTTCTAAGTTACATACTCCACATTTTGTAGCTCATCTCTAAGTACCACAATCCATGCGCTTTACCTTCATTACTATCCTAGCTTTTATTTATCTTACTCTTACCTTCATCATAGTGACGTCGCTTGTCTGCTCTGCCTCTCTCTTACAGTTATCTATGCTGTTAAGCTCCTCAATTATTAGATTACTAATTGCAACAGTAGACCCCCCCAATTTTATCTTTCAAGGCCATTGGAAATATTGCTGCTTATTTCTTATGTAAAGAACATACAGGTAGTAGCAATCTAATGTCCTAAGTTCTCATAATGCCTGAGCCCCTATCCTAGCATTCTCATTTAAGATCTCTGCAACTTAAGGAAAAGGTGCTTAAATCTCTCTGACCTTTAGTTTTGATTTCTCCCAAGCCTTTATTAGTCATTAGTCAATAATATAGATACAGCAATAATGTAGCCTGTTCCTTTATCAGGATCAAATGAGATAACACGGAAAGTGCTTGGAAGAGCATCTGCTATAAAACGTCCTTGGTGTTTTGTTTTGTTTTCCTTCTTTAGGGAAAAAAGTCATTACCAAGTCAGACAGGTTCTAATGGTCTCAGTTGTGAATGTTCATCACAAAAACCTTAATGTGCTTTTCATTGTCTTGGTGACCGACCCAGAGGATAACATCATTTAATAAAAAATAATCAGATAAACACTAGGCTTCAAATAGTTTATGCAAAGAAAGAACTAAGTGTAAATGTATAGAGCAAAACTGTTTATTGAAGATACAATTAGAAGGAATCATTGAGTATCTACAATAACAATATTTTCTTGAAAATGCTATTGTTTGCGGGGAGAGGGCTTCTATTTTATGACAAAGAAATACGTTGCTTCTAACAAAGACCCTTAAATGAAGAAACAAAAGACCTTGTCTCCTCTTTCTTCACATCCCATTTCCTATCATATATACACATGAAAACCTCTACTTGACAGCACAGTGAAAGATAAAGGAACACAGAGGCAATGAGGAGACTTCAGTTCTAGTCCTCAGTAGGCTAAGAATGACAACTTCCCCATTCTCTGCCTCAGAGTCTCGGTTTGTTAGCAAACAAATGCAGAGGGGAAGTTCAGGAACCAGCAAAGCAAAATGGCCACTACTATGCCAGGCCACAAAGTGTTGACAGCTGCCTTCCAGCCATTATGACTGAGTATAAACAGTTGCAACCATCCCTACAATGTCCTCAAAAAATCAAAACTATTTACTGTTTAGTGCCAGCATGGTATTTTAGAGACAAAAACAAAACAAAAAAATAAAAATCAAAACTCATCAATCTCTCAAGGTTCTCAAAACTTCAAACTGTATTCCAGAGTTCTAATGTTTTGTGGAGACACTTAGGGGGTCACTCCTCTGGATTGGTTGAATTGCCTATCTCCTCTATGGTATATGTGTGTTTTAGAACTGGCCTGGGCCTGAAAAAGCCTGGGATAAAACCGGACTCGCTGAACATAGCAGACAATGAGGACTACTGAGAACTCAAGAACAATGGCAATGGGTTTCTGATCCTACTGCACGTACTGGCTTTGTAGGAGCCTAGGCAGTTTGGATGCTCACCTTACTAGAACTGGATGGAGGTGGGGGTTCCTTGGACTTTCCACAGGGCAAGGAACCCTGATTGCTCTTCGGGCTGAGGAGGGAGGGGGACTTGATTGGGGGAGGGGGAAGGAAATGGGAGGCGGTGGCGGGGAAGAGACAGAAATCTTTAATAAATAAATAAATTAAAAAAATAAAAAAAGAATTCTATACAAAACAGAGCTCTGTCTGTCTGTATTCATCTCTTCTTATTTCTGATGTTTCTCTGAGAGAAATGGCTGTCCACCTTACACCACTCATTTGTTTGTCTGAGACAAGAGTTTTTCTAAACTGCCCAAGCTGACCTCAAACTTAAGATCCTCCTGCCAGAATGCTAGGATCATATGTATACCCTACTACACCTACCATGACATCTATCTTTCTATAAAACAGATACATCATTGTTACATAACAATACTTCTGCTTCTCATATACCCTTTGGTCTTTCACCCCAAACTGTTTCCCTGCTTAGGAATTCCTTCTCCCACAAAGTTATAAGAAGTTAAAAATAAAAAACCACTAAACTAGACAGATAATGGATTTATGATGATCTCTACAGGTCTTTAAACTCCATAGTTCATAAACCTAGGAGTTCACTTTTCAGATTCAACAATGAGCCATATCTAAGAGTGTTAAATAAAATAAGGTCTTAAATAGGGCCCTAGAATATTGTCTAGTCATAACTATTGGGGATAAGAACTAAAAAC